CACACACCCACGCACACACACACACACCCACGCACACACACACACACACACACACACACACACAAGCACACACACACACACACACACACACACAAGCACACACACACACACACACACACACACACACAAGCACACACACACACACACACACACACACACACCCACGCACACACACACACACCCACGCACACACACACACACCCACGCACACAGACACACACCCACGCACACACACACACACACACACACACACACACACACACACACACACACACACACACACACACACACACACACACAAGCACACACACACACACAGGGCTTGAGCTCAGATAGGATGGTCGAGTGTGTGAACTGTGGACAGATGAGAGTAATCATTCGTATGTTTGCCGTTGCTAACACTGATTAGCTGTAGCATCTGTCCAGAAGCACACGGACTCCACACGTTACGGCTGTAGATGTGTTACTTCTACAGACTCGCAGCATTTACAACTTTTATAGCACAATTATGAAGCCAACAAAAGAAAAATACAAGCAAGCTGACTCAATTCATCACCTGGGATCAATATGTGCACTCCTGTTGTTCCATCTAATTACACACAATTAGACTTCCTGCGACTTGTAAACAAGGTCTAACAAAGCTCACAGAGAAAGTTGTTCCGTCATCAGCCTGGTGAAGGACGCAGACGGGGCGAGGTGGGGGAGATGATTTATAGAATGAACGTAGAAGTTGATTCTGTGAGTTTACTGGGCAGCACAGAATCCCAGTAAAGATGGCCGCCACGCTTCTGTCCCGGGTTAATACTCTAGTTCAGTGGTTCCCAAACTTATTTAACCACGCACCCCCTTCCATGTCGACGCACCCCCAGCCCCACATCAGGGCATGGCTATACATATATATATATATATATATATATATATATATATATGTATATATATATATATATACATGTGTGTGTGTGATCGAAGACTTTCAGAAAACACATGGCTCTAATCAATAGGGAAACACACAAAGGCTGCAATCAATGGGACACACACACACACACATATGAACGCACGCACGCACACACCAAACAGATGTGATGCATGGCAGCACAAAGCCATGCTGATATGGTCTTTTGAAGTATTTGTGAGGGTCCCCTGGGAGACTACTGACCACTGAATAAATGAACACACACACACACACACACACACACACACACACACACACACACTGCATCTGACCTACTCTCCAGGGACTGAGCTGAAGGGGGGCAGAAGGTTGACCTGGAGGCTCCTCATTTCTTTCATGTGGCCTCTTTTCAGGGTCATCAGGGTCAAACAGTCAAATAATTAAAGAGGACACTATGACTTTATGAAAGGTCTATGATCTATACATAACATGTTCACCAAGTTCTTTACACTAAATCAGGGGTTGGGGGCACTTGTGTGAGCGAGATCATCTGAATGTCACACAAACAGAACCACATGGGCAGCTGTGACGCTGAAAACACTGCTCGGTCTCTGGACCCAGGAACGGCTGCAGGCAGCAAGCTCTGGAGCAGCCAGTGACTCCGCCCCCAGCAGACAGTCTCTGACTGCATATTTTTCACTACCTCCTACACTTGGAGCCACATTCAAGCAGGGCTAGGGGTTAGGCCAGTGTGGTGGTAGCTAGAGCTACGTTAGCTCTGGGCTCAGTCTGGAAAAGCCCCAAACAGGAAAATACTAAATGAACCGAGTCCATGTAGAGAGATGGTGCCAGTCCAAACTACAAACACAGCTGATCATAAGTAACCTGATGCTTCTCAGCTCTGACGGCCCCATTTTCAGACCAAACAAGCTCCTTACGCACCAACGTCACTGGAAAGAAGCACAAAGCTTACAGTTTTCTTCCTTTAACAGACAATCAAACATCTAAATGAAAAATCGGACATCATTACTAGTGAAAAGTGACTGAAGCAGACGTACACCAAACACTATGGTGCAAACACACACCCTAAAGCACGAACACACACACACACACACACAGACGGAGCTAGCCAGCAGAACACACCCTCCTCAGGGGACCTGCCAGGCTCTCCAGAGCAACGCATAAAGATCTCCCATGAGAGTGTGTAAGTGAGAGCAAAGGAGGGGTTGGGGGAGGTGACAGCACCACACCCCCACCCACACTCCTCCCAAACCCATCATTACTGTCCCAAAGCGTCCACAAGGGGACCAAATGAGAACTACTGCTGTCCCCTCCTCCCTTCCATCCACTGCTGCCCCCCCCCCCCCAACTAAACACCATGCAATTAGTGGCGGTGTACTCTCGTCTCTTCCCCTCCTTCACTTTACAAACGTTTATATTTACATATTTCTCTGAGTCTGTCATTGTCACCGTGTATCCGACTGTAGTATCTTATTACAGACCTGAAGTACTGACACACCTAAAATACCAAGCACCAAGTCTCTTCTCAGCCTCCCTTCTAGTGCAGTGATCTCACATGTCTTCCTGTCTAGTCATCCTTCCCTCGCTCCTTAAAAAGAACAACTGTAATTATGTTAACATGCCCATGTGACTGCTTCCCGTCTCAATGAGGCTCGTATCCTGCTCCCGAGGGCATTTTCAGAAGGCTGAAAAATTCCTTAGGAGTCCGTGTCAGCAAAGAAACGTGTTCCGTGCTGCGCCATGTAAGCCATGTGCTTTTAGGTTTTTCATTTGTCCCGGAGACAGAGCGGGAACCTCAGTGAGCAACACGACCAGACCATCATCATGTCTGCTAAACATAGCTAGTTATTAATAAAAACACACTGAATGATTCATCTCATCTGTGAATAACTCATCAAAATGTTCATTTTAGGTTAGTGAACAGATTTTTGACACAAAAAACCCCTGAAAAAACGTCCATATGCTGACATATGAACACGTCATTTGTGATTCATGCTAGCATCAACAGAACTTCCATGTGGAGGCTTTTACCGTCAGTCAGAGTTTTAAAGGTAATCAGAACATTTATGCTGTCAGTTATTTTCAGCCAAACTAGAAGGAGCCTAAACCAGTGTTGGTAGGGCTCAGCTGTACAAATGACAGATTTACACTGCGTGGTCCAAAAAAGTCACCACCTGGACCTAGCTAAGCAACCAGGTACGAGCCACCTATCTCGCGACTTTCCAAGAAGCGTGTTCACGAGTCCTCACCGCAAATAGCTTGTACAGTGCTAATGTTCTTAGCAGCTAGCGCAGTGTCGTATCGAGGAAATGCGGAGGATGAGGAGTAAACAGTTGGAGGATTTTTGTTTTACTTCGAACCAAACGAGACACAAAGGGTTAAACTTCGGAGCGGTAACGTGTCTGCTGCCTTTTGTTGTGAATCAATAACCTGATTATCAGCACGTGTTGGAACGCACCGCTGGCATGCTTGCTACCAGACTGGGTCCAGCCTGAAACAGCGGGGTTGTGGTAAATGTTCTACGTGCATACAGACGTACAATGTTAACTATGTATTCATCTTTAATGAACCAGGAAGTCCCACTGAGATTAAAAACCTCGTTTTCAAGGGAGTCCTGGCCGAGAGGCAGCAACAGTTACAGATGTGTTACGTAGCAGGTTACAGAGGGCAGTTACAACACAGGGGATCCGTCTCAAGGCTTCCTAGTCGGGTTTTAAATGTAGTCAAGCAGATAAACTTGGTTCATTTCCACTTTTCCTGCAGCCTGGTCCATGCAGAGGGAGCAGAGTGAACTGTACATTTTCACTAAGAGAACCTGGTGTTTTATGGCTTCAAATACACTAAATCTTGTTTTTATTCATTCTGCTGGTTGTTTATTTTGCTCAAATTGAAACTGATGCCTGCCTCTAATTCTGGCCTCCGTCCAATAAAGGCCTGAATCAGGATGCGCTTGAGTAAACAGAGGTCCGTATTAGAGGATTTACGGTAAGACTGCCTACGCCTCAATTTCATTCACACTTTAAACACCACCACCGACATTAATGCACACTTAGGGCCTTGGAGGTGAGCACGCTCAACTACACCTGGTGGGAGATCATTCAGCCTCACCCGGAGTGCCCACTTCCAGTTGTAATCGGCACCTAGACACCGAGTTCTGGGGGAATTGGTGTGCGCTGGCACCAGCTGGGGTAGGCCAGACAATGTGTGCCAAGCCCGTTCTGGGGAGGGCAGCTGCGGGTTTGATATTTTGGTTTTGTGTGTCCCCTTTTCCCTTTCTTTCTGCAGGCCAAGAAGCAGATCTTGTTCATCATTTACCGTTTGTTTGTTTGTTTGTTTGTCTGTATGCAGCACTGGCCACCTGCACCCTACTGACATGAAACTACAAACTAAATCTGTGATGAAGTTTTCAGAATGTCTCGTAAAGTTTGCTGGGGTTCCAAGTTTCCTCCAGAAAGCCACAGACCGAGCTGGTCTCAGAATCAGCACCACGGTGCTGCAGGCATCAGGGACCGGCCTGAAACCCAGCTGGAACGCTCCAGTCACAACGTGTGAGGAATAAATCACAAGCAAAAGAAGGCAAACTGCTAAAAATGTGGGATGTTTGGGATAAAGTTGTGTAATCATGTAGAATGACAACATGGAGCAACATAAAGCTAATCAAATACGTAAATTCTGTAAAACAGTACATGATGAAGTGCACTTTTATGACCTCTACCAGTACCAGCCCGGTTAGACGTCGGGTCTGTTACACAAGAGGCTGCTGGTAACTGAATCAAGCATCAGTGCTATTTTTCTTTATCAGTTCATACAGTAAAAATCCTAATTACTCACATGCTGCCCCTCTAAATCAGGCCTCTGCTGCGGGGAATCACACACACAAGCAGAAACAAATGCAACACGTGACCATGTTACGCCCTCTCCCTCCGGCTACTCGTTTATTTTTATCTGTGCTACTCCTCCCAGCAGCTGGATGAAGGACTGGAGAAAACACACCAAACATCTATCATCAGGTCTGAGCCAGCTCTTCACTCCGTTACAAACTCAAGACCTTCTTACCGTCGTGCTTTCAAACCCACAACCATCCTACCTGTGGACGTAGTGGAGCTGGTGAACAGAGTCGATGGCCAGAACCATCTCAGCCAGGTAGAACCTGGCCATGTCTTCTGGCAACCGGTCCTCAAACTTGCTGAGCAGAGTCAGTAAATCTCCACCCACGTAGTAGTCCATGACCAGGTACTACAGAGACAGAGAACACGTTTAGTAACTGAAGAACCAAAATGACAGCAGTCATCATGCAGAACACGGACAGAGGCGGCACAGAGAGGCTGCATGAAGACGTACGTATAAATCACCGTTTTTAACATCCCTGAACAATTCCTGAGCTCTTCTTACAGCATCAGACAAAGCTAGCAGCTATAAATAAATGTCTGCACTGGTGAGTATCTCTGAAACCTTGGGACGAGTCTGGCATGTGCTGTGAGAATGTGGGAACAGGAATGACAAGCAGTCCAGGCATCTGAACTCAGGATCATGAAGAGAGAACAAACGGTCAGGTTAAAGGGAGCGAGCTGGCTTACAGCAGCTAATTAAAGAGTTCTGCTGACCAATTACACCCGTCCAAAAATCTGGCCAGTTCATCCTTACAGCTCCGTCTGAACGGCCGTGTGCCGCGGTACAGAATGAACGTGCCGGCACCGTGGTCTGAAGACAAACTAAAAGGTGAAACAGCAAAGACAGTCAGCTGTTTTCAGCAGGACTACAGCTGCTACTATAGCTAGGACACACACACGGAGCTAAACCTGCTAAACGCATTTCAACACTGCAGCGTGCGCATCAGCATTCATCACACTTGCAGGATTAAATAAGCTAACGCACCTAGAAGTCATTAAACTTGAATGTAGCACAGAAACAGGAACATCACACTCTGTTTTCAGGCTTCAAAAGTTCCCATTCTTACGGTTTATTTATGATTGAGCAACAACTTAAAATTTACTAAAAGAGCTGGAAACAAAAACATGATGAAGAGAGGCTTGTCAGCCAGAAAAAGATTTAAATGGTGTTTCAAGTAGGGATGCACCGATGGATCGGCATTTGATCGTAATCGGCCGATAGCGCCCCTATCGGTTTTGATCGGAATTTTCAAAATAGATCAGAGCAAACCGATCAGGTAGGGTTGTCACGGTAACCAGTGTAGCGCTAAACCCCGGTAAAAAAAAAAAAAGAAAGAAAAAAAGTTGACAATAATAACCGTCTTGTTTTTAAAAAAAACTATTATCTTGGTGGATTACCGTGGCTGCGGTGTAGGCGCGTTGACCCTTACCAGCCACCGTATCATCGGCTGAAGTTGCCGGCGGCACATGCGCACTTTGTTTACAACAAAACTTTCTTGAAGCTAAAGCTGAAATAATGGTCAAAGGAGGAGACGGCAGCGCTCAGGAGGACATTTATTATCCCTCAAAGAAGACAAAGTCGGAAGTACGGGCATATTTTAGATATTTGAAGAATGCCGAGGGACAGCTGATAGAAGACGGCTATCCTGTTTGCAGCACGTGCAGAAAAAGTGTCTGTGAAAGGCAGCAACGCTTCAAATCTCACGACACATCTGCGTGACCATCACCCACAACTCTACAGTCAACGCAAGGCAAGCTAACGTTAGCGTTTTAGCTAAAATGCGTGATCCGAGGATTTGGGTTGAGGGAGAATGCAACGAGTCGCTATATAAAGCAGCCGCAGCGCCGCTACCTGCATATAAACCGTGTCGCGGACACCGCCATGTTGAAATGACGCTATGCATTACGGGGCTCCCAGGGGCCGATAAGAGTTGGTCTCTCTCCGAGAATAATTATGAATTTAACAACGATTACTGCCTGATGACATTTTCCCACATCTGCAAAGCTCACTGGAAGGACACAAACCGAGGACGATATTTTCCTGATATAGGGTTTATTACTCAAGTAAGGGTAAAAAAGTATCTGATTAGAAGGCTACTTGAGTACTGAGTATCATCTGGTCTAATATTTTTAAAATGATGACATCAAACAGACATAAAATAAGAAGTTATGGGCAAATATTGGTATTTTAAAGACTGAAGGGGAAAATGTAAACAAATAAACAACTTAATTACAAAATAACATATTTTAGGCAAAATTTAGACACAAACTGAGGACAATATTTTCCTGATATACAGGGTTTATTTAATTGTGTGAAAATGTAGCATGTTTAAAAAAAAAACCGCGATAATACCGAAAACCGTGGTAATTTTGGTCACAATAACCGTGAGGTTAAATTTTCACACCGTGACAACCCTAACCCCCAAATTCCACTACCTCCGCTCCGCTCCGCTGCGCTCCGCTCCGACACGAACGCCGGAGCAAAATCGGTCCCGTTGTAGTCAATCAGAGCAATTCCACTACTGCGGCCGTGCTCCGGCAGTGCGGCGCAGTGTGCCGCCCTCTGTTCCGGCGTCCGGCAAAAATAGAATCGATCCTATTTTCGCCGGACGCCGGAGCACCTCCGCAGTAAATGGACAGAAATCACAACGGCCCAACAGGAAAAGGAGCAAGCACAACTTCCGTTTTTCACAATAAATCGATAAACAAAAGGCGTTTTTTGTTTCATATGCACAGGTTTAACAACTTTTAACAACTATCAATGGTGGCTGAAGTTTAAATGCACAAAAATAAGCCATAAATACAGTTTCTACTATCAAAGTAGTCACCCTTTGTTGATCCAAACACTGCTGATCTCTCAACACAAATGATGGGCAGATTAAACAGTTCATGCCGATGCTTCTCCCACACAACGGGTGTTTGGATCTAACTTCCGCGTTTATTGCTCGGACTGTATCGCAAGATCTCGAAAATCCCGCGCGTGCTTGTTTGCCCACCTCAGGTCTCCGCACCGGAGCGGAGCCGTTGTAGAGCGGGTACCAGTAAACATTGAGTTCGGAAGCGAGTGGCTGCGGAAGGCGGGGGCGGACCGGACCGGAGCGGAGCGGAGGTAGTGGAATTTGGGGGTCATACAGACCATTTTAGATTAGGTTACATTTCCTTTATTCCCAGATTATGTAGTTTGTAGCACTCATTATAATGTTGTAGAAAATTTCTGGCCAATGAACGTGATCGGTATCGGTGATCAGCATTCTATGATATCGGTATCGGTGATCGGCAGCAAAAAACCTGATCGGTGCATCCCTAGTTTCAAGCTTGAGAAGCTCAGACGTCTGGGAGGGGCTCACTGTAGAGCCTCTGATCCTTCAGTGTTGGCAGGTGAGAGGTGATTCCATGCCAACTTTCCCTATTGTGTCATCACAACCACGGTGGCAGAGGTGACCGCCCTGTAACCAGAGGATGTCAGGATTCCCCCCGCGCTTTTCCGGTTCACGCCTCTTTTTGTTTTTTACAGGAACGACCCAAAACGATCTCTTAACACATGGACGTTCTGCTTCCTGATCATGTGACGTGTGCAGAAGAAGATCGGCTTCAGAGCTGAGATGTTTGTTCTCTCGGCGCGGGGGCTCGTTCCGACGCCCACACAGTAAAACAATGCAAATGACGACTTTAGTTGTCACGGGCAGTGAATGAGTTCATCAAATCTCTTGATTCTGAAAGCAGTCGTTTTTGCTGCAGGACTTTATTAGAGTGTAGAGAAGGAGACGGTTACCAGATTATTGTCGTCCTGGAACGCGTAGTGCAGAGTGGTGATCCACTGGGAGTCTCCAAATACCAGAACATCCCGTTCCTCCCGAAAGCACGCCGTCTTAGGGAAAGAAAAATATAACAAATGTTCTCCTAAACACCATTTCAAAGCCAGAAATCACAGACTGCATTCTCATCCATTACAGCAAACAAACAGCAGGAAACACGTGAGTGAGGATGTGTGTTGGTCTTTAAATCCTTTTAGGTCAGGGGCTTCCTAGACAACATGGAGGCCAAATGGCACGACTCATGTGACCAAAGGGACTGAAGGGTTGAGGATTAGTCTAACCACAGCTTTCCACTGGATGCACATGCAGCCCTTTACATCTGCAAAGAGCGCCGTGCAAAGCATCTTAACTAAAAAAAACACCCAACACCTCCTGCGGGAGGCGAACGGAAAATAAATAAATAAATGAAAATAAACCAAAGAGCGTTTGGATAAATGCTGCCATCTTTCTACTTGTTAGTAACCTGCATTCACACCTGCTGCGTGTGTGAAACGTCCCCAGTGAGGAGGGCCACATGGCTGTCTCCATTCCATTCTGCCCTCAGACAACCAGAGAAAGCCCAGGTGAGGGTTGAAGGTGTGCTTCACTTGTTTCATCAACACATCTGCAGTTGGCTCTAGCAGGAATGAATGTATGTGGATCTGTGGGTACAACAAGCCCTGGTGCTCCTCCTCCAGGGTCTAGATGTCTGCCAGACCAGAGGAGAAGCTTCAGAGAGCAGGATTGGGAGCAGGGCTGAACGATTCTGGAAGGTCATCCAACAGCGATGTTTTCCCTTGAATGCTATTTCATTCATGATTACTTTCTCAAGGGGCTTTTCTCATAGTTTTCAACTAATCTATGTAACTTGTACTGAATATAAACAAGTTTGTGTATCTACATGTTTATCTACAGGGTGGGCCGTTTCCATGGATACAACTTCATAACACGGGAATGGTTGGTGATGGTAACGTTCCGTTTGTGGCACATTAGAGTGAGAAGGCAAACTTTTCAAGATGGGTGGTGACCATGGTGGCCATTTTGAAGTCAGCCATCTTGGATCCAACTAGTTTTTTTCAATAGGAAGGGGGTCATGTGACACATCAAACTTATTGGGAATTTCACAGAAAAACAAAGGTGTGCTTGGGTTAGGGTTGGTCCTGTGTAGCCTGACCATATACAACTTGTCTAGAAGTGTAATATCATATATTTTCATACACTGAACAAAAATATAAATGCAACACTTTGGTTTTTGCTCCCATTTCTCATGAGCTGAACTCGAAGGTCTGAAACATTTTCTACATAAACAAAAGACCCATAACTCTCAAATATTATTCACTAATCTGTCTAAATCCATGTCCCACCTCAAGCTGCTGACTAGACAGCACAGATTATGCACAGGTGTGCCACAATAAATGTAACTGCTCAGATCCTTTATGTCAACGATGTCACTCACTGTGTCTTCCGTCTCTTTTCATTCTTTTTCACCTATTGTCTGTAATTTTACCATAAATGAGAAGCTATGCTGCATAAAGGTTAGTGTAACCAGCTGTGTGTCTATTCCAGCCTCATGATAGCTCCAGGAATTTGAGCATAAACAAACAATAAGGAAGAGTCCTGTTTTTGTGACGTGTGAACGATAATGATGAAGGACTCGGGAGACCAACAGGAATGTCAGACTATCAGGGAGAAGCCAATCAGGCTGCAGCTCGTTCTCCAATCTAACCACAAAGGTTTCATGTGAATTTGAGAGCTGTGGTTCCCTGTGCCAGGAGGTCTTTTTGACGTGTTATCCGTCTTCATAATCATCGTCCATAAAACTGTCCTAATGGATCGTGGCAGGCTGACAAGCACAACCGGTGATGGAACAAAACGCTGCGACACCAACCTCAGCTCGCTTCAGCATCTCCCACTTGTTGAGAATCTTCATAGCGAAAACTTTGTCAGTGTTTTTCCCTTTCACCACCGCAACCTGCAACAGGTGGGGAAGAAGCATTAGTTTAAGCACCTAACTTGTCCAGACTGTAGATGCAATGGAATAACAAGGTGTGACCATATCTGCACATGCATCACGAGACAAGTGCATCACAAGTCGTTGCGATTAGCTAAAATCAAATTTAAACAAAAATAAAATAAAAAACAACAAAAACAGTTTACTAGAAGATAACCTCCAGGTTTTGTTTCGACAGAAACTCCTAGAATAGAAGCGTTGTTTACTGTAACTGAAAAACAACCAGCGCAACAATAGGGAGCCTAAGCCACGCCCACCTACTTCCGCACCATCGGTCCCCAGAAGAACGAACAAATGAACGCAAGTCAATGCAGCTAAAAACGCTATTTTCTAATTCCACTTGTTTTGTGCCTTGGATTTCACACATGATGTCCGTGAGTTTTAAAGACACATTTTGATGCCAAGAACGCGCTTATTTTCTAATGGGGGAAACAATGTTTTAGGTTTTGTGTGAAAATAAGTCCAGGACTACAAATAAGTGACGTCATCGAACCAGACACAGAGAACACTGAGAGAAAATGGCTGTAAATTCAGCAAACCTCCCACAGGAGGAAAGAACCACCATGAATCTGGTCATGTGGTGAGTAGCAGCTACGCTAGGGGGAGGAGCTTATGTGGTGACGTCATATATGCGACGTGCCGATTTCTAGTTTGTAGTCATGCTAATTACAAACGTTTACAAGCTGATAAATCTCCAAGTACGTGACTGATGTGGTGGAAACACCATCATTACTTTTCATGTAAACTGCAGTACTGCATATGTGTGATCCAGGGCCTAAAGCAGAGCAGATTAGAAAATAGCGTTGTTAGCCCCGTTGACTTGCGTTCGTTTTTTCATTCTTTCGGGGACCCGTGATGCGGAAGTAGACTTCGGATCCCTATTGGGCCACACTAGTGTGTTTCTGTGTACATTTTATTAAACCGTCGTCGATAGCTTCACAAATGGCCTCAGTTTGTTGAAATAAGCTTCACATCCATTCTCTTGAAACACCACCAATCTCTCATAGTTGATGTCATATTTAATAAAACCTTCACCATTCACACGATACATGGTTTGTACTTTATCGTTCTTTGTGTAAATAATCCTAGAACATTATCAAGCAAATTCATAGTCAAGAGCTGGTTAATGGCATAAAACTGTCTAAAGTCACCAAACAGGACACCGACCACTGTTACAGACTGGTGTGTAGCCGGTGCACAGGACACCGACCACTGTTACTGACTGGTGTGTAGCCGGTGCACAGGACACCGACCACCGTTACTGACTGGTGTGTAGCCGGTGCACAGGACACCGACCACTGTTACAGACTGGTGTGTAGCCGGTGCACAGGACACCGACCACTGTTACTGACTGGTGTGTAGCCGGTGCACAGGACACCGACCACTGTTACTGACTGGTGTGTAGCCGGTGCACAGGACACCGACCACTGTTACTGACTGGTGTGTAGAAGGTGCACAGGACACCGACCACTGTTACTGACTGGTGTGTAGCTGGTGCACAGGACACCGACCACTGTTACTGACTGGTGTGTAGAAGGTGCACAGGACACCGACCACTGTTACTGACTGGTGTGTAGCCGGTGCACAGGACACCGACCACTGTTACTGACTGGTGTGTAGCCGGTGCACAGGACACCGACCACTGTTACTGACTGGTGTGTAGAAGGTGCACAGGACACCGACCACTGTTACTGACTGGTGTGTAGAAGGTGCACAGGACACCGACCACTGTTACTGACTGGTGTGTAGAAGGTGCACAGGACACCGACCACTGTTACTGACTGGTGTGTAGCTGGTGCACAGGACACCGACCACTGTTACTGACTGGTGTGTAGCTGGTGCACAGGACACCGACCACTGTTACTGACTGGTGTGTAGAAGGTGCACAGGACACCGACCACTGTTACTGACTGGTGTGTAGCTGGTGCACAGGACACCGACCACTGTTACTGACTGGTGTGTAGCCGGTGCACAGGACACCGACCACTGTTACTGACTGGTGTGTAGAAGGTGCACAGGACACCGACCACTGTTACTGACTGGTGTGTAGCTGGTGCACAGGACACCGACCACTGTTACTGACTGGTGTGTAGCTGGTGCACAGGACACCGACCACTGTTACTGACTGGTGTGTAGAAGGTGCACAGGACACCGACCACTGTTACTGACTGGTGTGTAGCCGGTGCACAGGACACCGACCACTGTTACTGACTGGTGTGTAGCCGGTGCACAGGACACCGACCACTGTTACTGACTGGTGTGTAGAAGGTGCACAGGACACCGACCACCGTTACTGACTGGTGTGTAGAAGGTGCACAGGACACCGACCACTGTTACTGACTGGTGTGTAGAAGGTGCACAGGACACCGACCACTGTTACTGACTGGTGTGTAGAAGGTGCACAGGACACCGACCACTGTTACTGACTGGTGTGTAGAAGGTGCACAGGACACCGACCACTGTTACTGACTGGTGTGTAGCCGGTGCACAGGACACCGACCACTGTTACTGACTGGTGTGTAGCCGGTGCACAGGACACCGACCACTGTTACTGACTGGTGTGTAGCCGGTGCACAGGACACCGACCACTGTTACTGACTGGTGTGTAGCCGGTGCACAGGACACCGACCACTGTTACTGACTGGTGTGTAGCCGGTGCACAGGACACCGACCACTGTTACTGACTGGTGTGTAGCCGGTGCACAGGACACCGACCACTGTTACTGACTGGTGTGTAGCCGGTGCACAGGACACCGACCACTGTTACTGACTGGTGTGTAGCCGGTGCACAGGACACCGACCACTGTTACTGACTGGTGTGTAGCCGGTGCACAGGACACAGGACACCGACCACCGTTACTGACTGGTGTGTAGAAGGTGCACAGGACACCGACCACTGTTACTGACTGGTGTGTAGCCGGTGCACAGGACACCAACCACCGTTACCGACTGGTGTGTAGAAGGTGCACAGGACACCGACCACCGTTACCGACTGGTGTGTAGAAGGTGCACAGGACACCGACCACTGTTACTGACTGGTGTGTAGAAGGTGCACAGGACACCGACCACTGTTACTGACTGGTGTGTAGCCGGTGCACAGGACACCAACCACTGTTACTGACTGGTGTGTAGCCGGTGCACAGGACACCGACCACTGTTACTGACTGGTGTGTAGCCGGTGCACAGGACACCGACCACTGTTACTGACTGGTGTGTAGCCGGTGCACAGGACACCGACCACTGTTACTGACTGGTGTGTAGCCGGTGCACAGGACACCGACCACTGTTACTGACTGGTGTGTAGCCGGTGCACAGGACACCGACCACCGTTACTGACTGGTGTGTAGAAGGTGCACAGGACACCGACCACCGTTACTGACTGGTGTGTAGCCGGTGCACAGGACACCGACCACCGTTACTGACTGGTGTGTAGAAGGTGCACAGGACACCGACCACTGTTACTGACTGGTGTGTAGAAGGTGCACAGGACACCGACCACTGTTACTGACTGGTGTGTAGAAGGTGCACAGGACACCGACCACTGTTACTGACTGGTGTGTAGCCGGTGCACAGGACACCGACCACTGTTACTGACTGGTGTGTAGCCGGTGCACAGGACACCGACCACCGTTACTGACTGGTGTGTAGAAGGTGCACAGGACACCGACCACTGTTACTGACTGGTGTGTAGAAGGTGCACAGGACACCGACCACTGTTACTGACTGGTGTGTAGCCGGTGCACAGGACACCGACCACTGTTACTGACTGGTGTGTAGCCGGTGCACAGGACACCGACCACTGTTACTGACTGGTGTGTAGCCGGTGCACAGGACACCGACCACTGTTACTGACTGGTGTGTAGCCGGTGCACAGGACACCGACCACTGTTACTGACTGGTGTGTAGCCGGTGCACAGGACACCGACCACAGTTACTGACTGGTGTGTAGCCGGTGCACAGGACACCGACCACTGTTACTGACTGGTGTGTAGAAGGTGCACAGGACACCGACCACTGTTACTGACTGGTGTGTAGCCGGTGCACAGGACACCGACCACTGTTACTGACTGGTGTGTAGCCGGTGCACAGGACACCGACCACTGTTACTGACTGGTGTGTAGCCGGTGCACAGGACACCGACCACTGTTACTGACTGGTGTGTAGCCGGTGCACAGGACACCGACCACTGTTACTGACTGGTGTGTAGAAGGTGCACAGGACACCGACCACTGTTACTGACTGGTGTGTAGCCGGTGCACAGGACACCGACCACTGTTACTGACTGGTGTGTAGAAGGTGCACAGGACACCGACCACTGTTACTGACTGGTGTGTAGCCGGTGCACAGGACACCGACCACTGTTACTGACTGGTGTGTAGAAGGTGCACAGGACACCGACCACTGTTACTGACTGGTGTGTAGCCGGTGCACAGGACACCGACCACTGTTACTGACTGGTGTGTAGCCGGTGCACAGGACACCGACCACTGTTACTGACTGGTGTGTAGCCGGTGCACAGGACACCGACCACTGTTACTGACTGGTGTGTAGCCGGTGCACAGGACACCGACCACTGTTACTGACTGGTGTGTAGCCGGTGCACAGGACACCGACCACTGTTACAGACTGGTGTGTAGCCGGTGCACAGGACACCGACCACTGTTACTGACTGGTGTGTAGCCGGTGCACAGGACACCGACCACTGTTACTGACTGGTGTGTAGCCGGTGCACAGGACACCGACCACTGTTACTGACTGGTGTGTAGCCGGTGCACAGGACACCGACCACTGTTACTGACTGGTGTGTAGCCGGTGCACAGGACACCGACCACTGTTACTGACTGGTGTGTAGCCGGTGCACAGGACACCGACCACTGTTACTGACTGGTGTGTAGCCGGTGCACAGGACACCGACCACTGTTACTGACTGGTGTGTAGCCGGTGCACAGGACACCGACCACTGTTACTGACTGGTGTGTAGCCGGTGCACAGGACACCGACCACTGTTACTGACTGGTGTGTAGCCGGTGCACAGGACACCGACCACTGTTACTGACTGGTGTGTAGCCGGTGCACAGGACACCGACCACAGTTACTGACTGGTGTGTAGAAGGTGCACAGGACACCGACCACCGTTACTGACTGGTGTGTAGCCGGTGCACAGGACACCGACCACTGTTACTGACTGGTGTGTAGCCGGTGCACAGGACACCGACCACAGTTACTGACTGGTGTGTAGAAGGTGCACAGGACACCGACCACCGTTACTGACTGGTGTGTAGCCGGTGCACAGGACACCGACCACCGTTACTGACTGGTGTGTAGAAGGTGCACAGGACACCGACCACCGTTACTGACTGGTGTGTAGCCGGTGCACAGGACACCGACCACTGTTACTGACTGGTGTGTAGCCGGTGCACAGGACACCGACCACAGTTACTGACTGGTGTGTAGAAGGTGCACAGGACACCGACCACCGTTACTGACTGGTGTGTAGACGGTGCACAGGACACCGACCACCGTTACTGACTGGTGTGTAGCCGGTGCACAGGACACCGACCACAGTTACTGACTGGTGTGTAGAAGGTGCACAGGACACCGACCACTGTTACTGACTGGTGTGTAGCCGGTGCACAGGACACCGACCACCGTTACTGACTGGTGTGTAGCCGGTGCACAGGACACCGACCACTGTTACTGACTGGTGTGTAGCCGGTGCACAGGACACCGACCACTGTTACTGACTGGTGTGTAGCCGGTGCACAGGACACCGACCACTGTTACTGACTGGTGTGTAGCCGGTGCACAGGACACCGACCACTGTTACTGACTGGTGTGTAGCCGGTGCACAGGACACCGACCACTGTTACTGACTGGTGTGTAGCCGGTGCACAGGACACCGACCACTGTTACTGACTGGTGTGTAGCCGGTGCACAGGACACCGACCACCGTTACTGACTGGTGTGTAGAAGGTGCACAGGACACCGACCACTGTTACTGACTGGTGTGTAGCCGGTGCACAGGACACCGACCACTGTTACTGACTGGTGTGTAGCCGGTGCACAGGACACCGACCACTGTTACTGACTGGTGTGTAGCCGGTGCACAGGACACCGACCACTGTTACTGACTGGTGTGTAGCCGGTGCACAGGACACCGACCACTGTTACTGACTGGTGTGTAGCCGGTGCACAGGACACCGACCACTGTTACTGACTGGTGTGTAGCCGGTGCACAGGACACCGACCACCGTTACTGACTGGTGTGTAGAAGGTGCACAGGACACCGACCACTGTTACTGACTGGTGTGTAGCCGGTGCACAGGACACCGACCACTGTTACTGACTGGTGTGTAGCCGGTGCACAGGACACCGACCACTGTTACTGACTGGTGTGTAGCCGGTGCACAGGACACCGACCACTGTTACTGACTGGTGTGTAGCCGGTGCACAGGACACCGACCACTGTTACTGACTGGTGTGTAGAAGGTGCACAGGACACCGACCACTGTTACTGACTGGTGTGTAGCCGGTGCACAGGACACCGACCACTGTTACTGACTGGTGTGTAGCCGGTGCACAGGACACCGACCACTGTTACTGACTGGTGTGTAGCTGGTGCACAGGACACCGACCACTGTTACTGACTGGTGTGTAGCTGGTGCACAAACTCCAGCTGAAAAAAACTCGCGTTTTCTAACTTTAATTTCACTTGAGTTCAGAATACCTTCATCATCTTTTTCTGCCCAAGACCAGATCATGTCCACCGTTCACCAACATCTAATATTCTGTACAAAAGAAAGCAGCGTGCTGGGTCTGTTAACCTCTGCTGTTGCCTTTTATAGCTGCAGGTACTCACCCATCTCTACTGCTTAGCTCTTCAGACCACACCGTCTTTACAGCCTACTGTACCATACCGACAGTGTGACAAGTGCCAACTTTCCCTTGACTGCTAATTACTAAACATAGTCCTGACTAGCCTACTCAGCTCTGGCTTGATGTTTGTCCAAAAAAGGAGCTGCACAAGCTGCTGTGTGCGGAAAGCTCAGACTCGTGTTCACACAAGTGTTTACGTATTTCTTCGGCTGGCTTTTCTTTAAACATACAGGTCCATAAAGAAGGACCCTCCAACTGTACTGCTAATGCAACACAATGATAACATTCCTTCAGTGGGGGGGCTCCATGTTTCTGTCCTCTCAAAAAAAGCTACATTTAGAAGAAAAAGGTCCACGCCCTTTTAAACCACCAGAGATGTTAAGCATCTTCTCTAAACATGGACCACACCACCCGTTTCAGTAAAGATGCGGGAGCCTGAGTCACGCCCAGCTACCTCTGAACCACGGGTCCCCAGAACAAAGAAAACAAACGGGCTAGAAGCTATTTTCTAATCCCGTTTGATGTGTGTCATGGATTTCACATATGGTGTCAGTGAATCTGTAAGACACATGGCTAGGGTGGATAGTTATTTTATGGTTTCTGTGAAAATACGTCCAGGATTACAAATGTTCATCTCATCAGATCAGACACGGATAAGAGAAGATTAGTTTAACGAGCTTCCCGCCCATGGTCCGAAATTAAATTTTTTACTCAGATGATGAAAATCTACCGGCCAAAATCCTAAATGATTTAGATCTACCTAAAGCATGTTATTCTATATTATGTTGATTCCAAACAGAGTGACAAAATAATTAAAACATCAATTAATAAGAAAAACAACTCTTTTGTCATTTTTACTATTTATTTATTCATTTATTTTTAGAGATGTTTTTATGAACTCTTTCATTGAAATCTAGTCAGACTCCTTGTTTTCTCTGTCCATGAAGTCTGGCCTCCTGCTTCTGACACCGTCTTTGTGCCAAAGCATTACAGCCTCATGTGGGCCATAGTCCTTGATCTCTGGAGAACACAGCTGCACCATGAGAACATCTGAAAGTGTGTCAGGGCTAGGGTTGTCACGGTAACTGGTGTAGCGGTAAACCCCAGTAAAAAAGTTGACAATAATAATAACCGTCTTGTTTTTAAAAAAACTATATTATCTCGGTGGATTACCGTGGCTGCGGTGTAGGCGCGGTGACCCTTACCAGCCACCGTATCTGCTGAAGTTGCCGGCGGCACATGTGCACTTTGTTGTTTACAAACAAAACTTTCTTTAAGCTAAAGCTGAAATAATGGCAGGAGGAGACGGCAGCACTCAGGACATTTATTATCCCTCAAAGAAGACAAAGTCGGAAGTACGGGCATTTATTGGATATTTGAAGAATGCCGAGGGACAGTTGTCTGTGAAAGGCAGCAACGCTACGTGGCCATCATAATGTAGCCATTGTCTCACGACTCCGCCATCTCCGGTTCGCCACTTTTCACAAAATCTTCTGGTTGCCACTGGTCCTGGTGGTTTTCCTTCCAGTTCGACGAGTTTTCTTTTGGAAGGCTGGCTGGCTCCAGTTAAAAATCGCCACATTTCACCGCTAGTTTTAACACGAAGCTAACTGCTAACTTGATAAACTGATTGAATGGGATAGGTGGAAATGACGTTGGATGCGGTGCTCACGTTTCGCGTATGTTTGTGTACATTGCATGCAGGCGGGAGGAGTATCAGACATCCATGGAAGATGACTGATAAACATAACTAATTTGGTGCAAACATTTACTCGCCAGGTGGCAGGTAGAGCTCAAAAATTTACTCGCCAAATGGAGCAATTTGCTCACATTTGGCGAGTGGCGAGTGTTAATTTCGGACTCTGTTCACACCCTTCTTCCAGAACGATAGAAGGTGCACTACACATGGAGAAAACCACCATAAATGCGGCCATGTGGCAGGTAGCAGCTACGCCTGGGGAGAAGAGCTTCTGCTGCGACGTCATATATGACACGTCTGATCTGAAGTCTTTTTATTCACAAATTTTACAAGCTGATAAATCTCAGAGTAGGTGACAGACACAGTCGAAACACACATATCATAACTTTTCATTTAAACTGAAGCACAACATGTGTGGGATTCAGGGTGTAAGGCGAAGCAGATCAGAAAATAGCTCTTTTAGCCTCGCCCAGGGTCCCGTGAGCCGACCAAAAGGGGAGGAGCCTCAGGCTCTCTATGACCATCCTTAACGCTGTCCTTCACCAGTGGTCGTCTACAAGGAGCAGTAACTGTGCTAGTGAGAGTGAACACAGGTCCCACATGTGTTGTCTGAGCATCGTTGTCACTAGCAATGAATTAGCAGAACCTAGAACCCCGTCATTTACATCCACTAGCAAATCTCAGAATAGCCTGAGTCTTTAAATAATCGTGTGTGTGTGTGTGTGTGTGTGTGTGTGTGTGTGTGTGTGTGTGTGTGTGTGTGTGTGTGTGTGTGCCAATAAATAGCAAAGCAGGTGGTCCATTACCTCTCCAAATGCCCCACGACCAATCACCTTCAGTATCTCAAAGTCCTCCTTGTGCAGACGCATCTGCTTCACTTTGGAGGTGAAGGGTTTGGCTGCAAGAAAACAAAAGAGGTCAGAGCCATGCAAATGCTTCAAAAACGTTATGTCGAACATATGAAGCTAAAGGAAAAATTTTATTTAAAAATTAAAACACAAACCAACATTTTTAATCCTGCAAAGCACCTGATGGAAGAGATGAAAGTAAGGAACGTATCAAAAGGGAACACGGGGAAATATGTTCAGCGCCAGGCTGAAAATAATTATTAAGTAGCTGAAAGAGGTCCAAGTAAATATTTGACCAAGGGCAGCACAATATATCGCAAATACATCATCGGGATATCAGCATGCGCAATGCGCATATCGCAAAGAACAGAAAAAAATCGCAATGAATGGTTAGCTCAAATGTTCACAACATAAAATGCATTTTGTCAATCAAACAGAAGCATGACGTTTTTGATCAATCAAATAAAGCTCTTCACCCATTTGGCCAATCAGGTGGGTTCTCATAGGTTAGACGCCCGCCCCTGAGGCGGACGACACTTAATTTGGATGGTTAGCAAACACCTGAGTTAGCTTCGTTCTACTGATTGCCTTTTCTTATTCATTTTTCTCCTACTTTCCTCACATCTCTTGATCACAATTTTTGCTTTTCCCAATTTATGATATTTTTTAGTCATTATTACAATTTTTAATTTCTTTGTTTTTCTTCCCGAGTTAAGTTTTTATTTATTGCAAGTCATATCGTCATTACAATAATAATCACCGTTAGCGCGTATCGCAGGTTTTTCTCACATCGTGTGGCCCTAACTTCATCAATGCTTCATTCAGAGACGAAGACAAGAAACACCGAAGAGTTAAATTGGACAACAACAGGACTACGTGAGCTGCTGAAAACAAAAATCCACACAAACAAGCGAAGAAGCCGGAAAACTGAAGTAAGTGATTACAATGCAAGTATAGGCCACAGCATGACAAAAAACAAACCGAGCTAGATAATTATAAACCAAACTTTTATATGAAATATGTTCAAATCAGCCGTTAGACACACAGTGCCGTTACAAGCGCACTGACAGACATCTAAGTCGATCCAGGTCAATCTTGTTTTAACCAGGCCCCCACAATGCGGCTCAAAAATGGAAGCCAACCCGGAAGTACCATAAATTGCAGTTCCACCCTCATCCACTAGGGGCTGGTGTCAGAAGTGAGCAAATCCTCATTGACTCCCATGTTAAAAATACCCATTTCCCAGCAGAAATAAACATGTTTGCAGCCTGGTACCAGAACATGTTTTTGGTTTAAATGATCTAGTCTACACTCATGACAACTCTGAGGGGGGTGAATTTTTTTCTCACTCTTCTGTTTAAGTGTATTGGGGCGACAGTGGCACAGGAGTTAAGCGCTCGCCCCGTAATCGGAAGGTTGCAGGTTCGAGCCCCGCTCAGTCTGTTGCTGTCGTTGTGTCCTTGGGCAAGACACTTAACACACATTGCCTGCTGGTGGTGGTCGGAGGGACCGGTGGCGCCAGTGCTCGGCAGCCTCGCCTCTGTCAGTGCGCCCCAGGGCAGCTGTGGCTACATCGTAGCTCATCCCCACCAGGGTGTGAATGTGTGTGTGAATGGGTGAATGACTGATTGTGTTGTAAAGCGCCTTGGGGGTACCAGGACTCTAGAAGGCGCTATATAAAATACAGGCCATTTACCATTTTACCATTAAAAGCCTAAAATTCTGTATAATTAATGAGCATCAGACCCACGTGACCACAGAACTAGCTCCGGGGAAAGGCCTCAGTAGAGCCTCGGTCTGGCCTGGAAACTGCTCCGAAAAGGAAAGGAAAGTAGAAGGAAAGTACAACAACTGGTACGTACTGTCCTGTTTATGGTGTTACGCGTGTTGCTTTGTGACGATGGTCTTCTCAGAAGACCGCTTCCGCTGTCTCGCCACTTGTGGAACATGAGCGTCCTACTGGTTTAGCTCGGCTGATCCGTTTCCATGCAGAATGTAGTCAGACTGCTACCACACTATCTGGGTGCTTCAGCTCCATTAGAACCAGTTGACCTTCAGCCAGACTAACACGTTTACATGACATTAAAAAACCAACGAGAGTCTTTTTAGGGCAATACTGACTTCCCATTGGGGGTTTCTGATGTGCATGTAAACACACTGACAGTCTTCCAGTTTCAGCTGATCAGGTCTGAAACAAGTTCCTCCCTCCCCCTGTGCTGCTGGTGAGCACCATGGTGGGTCAGACCACCACAGATCAGCTGATTCGAGAGCAGTTCAACAAAAGTGAAAGACATTGGATAAACCTCCAACCCTATTTTAACAATATTGACATAAAACACAGCATAGCATCATGTAACCTGCAGTTATTCACTCCTGAAGTAAAACTTAACTTATATTAGTAAAAAAAACATGTAAAATTAGTCAGGAAAGCAGAAAAAAATGTTTTTTGTGTTTTTCATTTTTCACTTTAGTTCAGACAATTATATATTTTTATCCTTTAGTTTGTATTTTATCTTCACCTTTATTAATTTTCATGATAATTTTTTGTTTGAAAAAAAAAAGCCTTAACATAAATTTTTTTTTGACATTCTGAATTTGATTACATAAGTTTGTGTAGTTTTTAACTGTTAATCTCTCGAAATATCCATGGAAATGTTGCTGAAAATGAATTAAATGATGCCCAGTTGTTGAAAAATATTGGCGGATTCATAAGGTACACCCATAAAAATCAGGCCTAAAATGCATAGGAGTGGGTCCAAGTCTCTGGGCAACGCCAGATTTGACGCCATGTTTCCTTCTACCTGAACCCATGAGGACAAAATGGATTTACTGATTTGTAACAAACGGTTACAAAACTTTCACCATTCATAAACATTGTTGTTTTACATGCTGACCTCTTCACTCGTTGCCAGTGATGAAGGTAAGTCTATTTGCTTGTCATTTTGCTGGAGGTTGGGCTCCCAGGGCTGTTTAACCCTAATGGGTATCTGTTGGTTAGGTCTTACTCAAACACAAAAGTACTGCTTGCTTGTAATCATTTAGTTATTTACTGAGCCCTATCGCCAGGGAAAACACACACTGTAATTTTAAATGTAATTTATACTAATAATTTATACTGAAATTTATTCTATACTTTTTGAAATTATATTTTCTGCAATTCATCTGGTATGTGAGATTGTTCAAAAACAGTCATTTAGACATGTATAAACAGAAGAATATATTGCGATATATATCATTACTGCATGTGCTTCAAAATTTAAACACAATATAGATTTTAGGCCATATGGTCCATTCTTAGTAGACATCAGCCTCATTAATTAAACTCTGACAAAGATACTTACTAAATGTCTACTTAGGCTTTAGTATTCATAAATGTACTGACAGATCACACTGACCTCCGTTTACACGGGGGGGGGGGGGGGGGGGGGGGGGCGGTGAGCTGCACGTTATGGCAGTAGTGTGGTCTTTCAGGTTGGTAGAAGCCAGTATAGTCTATGGTTTGGTTTACATCAAACACGCCATGTCAGATGATTAAAGCACCAAAGACTAGGGTTGGGCATTGAGCATCGAATGGAACCAGGACTAACTCCGGTTTTCCCGGAATAGTTACATTTTTTTATTGCGATTCCTAGTTTTGATTCCCAGTGTGCCATCCAGAAGAACAATCCACAGCTGATCTTCGTGAAAAAAGTGTGATCTGCTAATTCTGATCAATGCCCTTTGGAGCTGATCGCACCATCTGTCTGTCGCTCCTACTCTGCAGCCTGCAGAGGCCCTGAGCAGCATCGCGACCTCCCATCATCACACCCAGCACGCAGCGGCAAAAATGTAAACAAACACATCGGCCAAACTTTACAAAGCGATGTAAAGTTTGCGTCCTCCATCGAAAAACACGATGAGGAGGAAGCTCGTTAGTATGCGTCAACACAGTGGATTTAATACAAGTTTTAAAGAACAAACTCCGGGCGGAGTGAGGGGAGTTTGTAAGTTTCTGTTTGTGTTCGTGTAGACTCAGTCATCCCAAACATGGTCATCACGAGAGTTTTAGGTGAAAACAGCGGGACTTCTCTGGTTATGTTGAAGACATTTTGCCTCTCATCCTAGAGGCTTCTTCAATTTCCATACTTGGCTGTGGACAGAAACCAACACACTGATTGTGCTGCAAATCTTTTTCTTTCCTGAAATCAGATTTTTGTCTGAATGAAGGTGATGTTTTAGAATTCAAATTCATGTTGAAGTTCAGATTATTTCATCACGTATGACCTGTGGTAAGCTGGCTCATTTAAAACATGTAAAGTTATTGGATCCTGCCTCCTGAAAGAAATGGAATTGGGAATCGATAGGAACCAGAACAAGGAATCGGAATTGCAACTGTTCAAATTCAAATGATGCCCAACTTTACCAAAGACGCATGTGGGTTGAATGGTTGTGTGTGTGTGTGTGTGTGTGTGTGTGTGTGTGTGTGTGTGTGTGTGTGTGTGTGTGTGTGCGTGTGTGTGTGTGTGTGTGTGTGTGTGTGTTTGTGCGTATGTGTGTGTGTGTGTGTGTGTGCGTGTGTGCGTGTGTGTGTGTGTGTGTGTGCGTGTGTGTGTGTGTGTGTGCGTGTGTGTGTGTGTGCGTGTGTGTGTGTGTGTGCGTGTGTGTGTGTGTGTGCGTGTGTGTGTGTGCGTGTGTGTGTGTGCGTGTGTGTGTGCGTGTGTGTGTGTGTGTGTGCGTGTGTGTGTCAACAGCAGCAGTGTTTGTTTGGCTATGAAAGACTTTTAGGGTTTAAATAATTAAAAAGTGAAAAGTGCAACAAGCAGAAACGATCTGGAACTGCTAACTCACTTTATACACATAGAAGACATACAGTACTACACACCATTCCTTACCGTTTTTAAAGACTGGCCAAGTATTTCATACAGGCCAGTTTTAAAATGACATGAGTTTATGTACTAGGGATGTGAGTCTTAGAGCAACTCACCATTTGATTCGATTCAGAATCGATTCTTGATTTAAATAGATTCACAATCAGTATTAACAATGAGTGTCAGTTCCAGGGTTAACTACTTTGTTGTACAAGTTAGTTAAAGCTATGGGACATTTTTATTTGACTTTAAACTGGTTGTGCTCTAAAAATGCTAATTTACAAGGTAAACTAAAGTGATTCTAAGACTGTAAACAGAAACAATGTTTTGAGCAAAAGGCAACATTTTTGCTTACCTTGTAAAATATAACAAATCTGTAGTTACTAACAGTAGCTTCGAAAGTAATACGGTCAAATACTTTTCAAGTATGTGTAGAAACAAGTTTAACATTTGAGTCTGAAACCTGTTTAAAAGTGCCTCAGATTTCTTCCAAAGGAAAATGTGTTCTCTCATTTATCAATAACTTCAAATAAACACATGAGTAATCCTGAGTACTCACTTATCAATAACTTCAAATAAACACATGAGTAATCCTGAGTACTCACTTATCAATAACTTCAAATAAATACACGAGTAATCCTGAGTACTCATTTATCAATAACTTCAAATAAATACATGAGTAATCCGGAGTACTCACTTATCAATAACTTCAAATAAACACACGAGTAATCCTGAGTACTCACTTATCAATAACTTCAAATAAACACATGAGTAATCCTGAGTACTCATTTATCAACTTGGAACATAAATATGAGAATATCTCAAATTAATGAGTATGAAAAATGACATTCTAGTGCCCTCTTGTCAGCTGATTCAAACATAAATCATCTCAATTTATGTGACCACAAAAGAAAACGGAGTACTGGGTCTCCTAACAGAGATAAAAAAAACAGACAAAAGTGCATCTCAAACCTGTAACATGCCAAACATTTGAGTTCTTGGGATCGATTCTGAACCTTTATAGATAAGAATCCAGATTCAGACTGGAATCGATTGTTTTCAGCACCTATATTATGTACTAATACAAAAATGTCTATCTCAACCTCCACATTGCTCTAAATGTGCATTCTAGAGGTAATGAGCACCTGGTCCTCTACAGGGAGAAGGCAGTGATAAAGATGGCCATTATTGTACTTGTGGTTATGGTTCCCGGTGGGAAAAAGACTGGGGAGGGGTCTGCAATGGCTGCCAACATTCCCTTACAAAGTTAGCTAGATTTGATCTTTGCTGACAAAGTCAGCATTTCCCTCATTTGTGGAAAGCTATTCAGCCACTTCCTGGTTTACATGATCCCAGCATGCCAAGGATAACTGGGATTGGCTGCCAGTTCATCAAGAAGTACATATTGGTTAAATGATATCACAGACTGCTTTTTATATTAAAAACATGAAAAACATGAAAAACGCTCCTCAGGTTGGAAAAACACTAAATATTCAAACTGTGCTGTGCATGTGCATGTGTGTGTGTGTGTGTGTGCGTGCGTGCGTGTGTGTGTGTGTGTGTGTGCGTGCGTGTGTGTGTGTGTGTGTGCGTGCGTGCGTGCGTGCGTGTGTGTGTGTGTGTGTGTGCGTGCGTGTGTGTGTGTGTGTGTGTGTGTGTGTGTGTGTGCACTCAACAAGCTCTCCCCCACTTGCCTCACACCCCTCCAGACTGGACTGACAGCTGGTCTGGTCTACAGTGACAACAGAGCAGAGGGAGAGTTGTTGCTACAGAACATAAACATACCGCCGACTCAGCCGTGTCCAGGAGGAAACGCCTGACCCGGTGGGAAGAAATGCTCAGTCATATTATGTTGCTTCACAAGTGGACAGGACACACTTGGCCTGTCTAGCTATAGGATGGGGTGATGGTGAGAAAGAAACAGAGCCAGCAGACATTACGACAAACTTTCACACAAATGATTTGTTACATTTCATTTGCTCACGATTGCATCTGTTAAAGGCGTCCTTATATCTTGTGGTTCTTTACTGCTGAATCAAACGCAATATTTAGGTGACTTCCAGTTTGGCTGCATTCACATGAGGCCCAATAACAGCTTTCTGAGTCTGACTGTTGCAGACAACTCATCTGCTAACTGGCGAGATAAATGTTTGCATGAGCAAGAGGTGTGGAAATATTCAGTAGGAATGCACAATATATCTGCATCAGTATCGGTATCAGCCGATGTTAGTCTAACAACCGGACTGTGAGGGCGGTGTGTGTGCAGATCTTTGTGCTACCGTTCCCGAGCTCCCCGCCTCCGGCTATGTTTGTCCGGTCCCGGGAAAACGTCGGAGGAAAAGAGGTAAACGAGCAGGAATCCAGGTGAGAATAAGACTTCTCTTTAAGCGTGGTTTATCTGGTGAACATCGGCGTGATCTTCTAGCTTCTTGTCCTTTGTTTGGTGACCTGAGCGCCACTTCCACATTCCCGCCAGGCCGCGTTGCGACGCAGTTCATCCGTCCAAGTTTTTTAAGGTCGGTTTATCCTCATTCCTCAGTGGTTT